AAAACAAACAAACAAACAAACAAACAAACAGACGGCAGCTTCTGACAGAGACTGCCATCAAACTAAAAACAAACACAATGTAAACTTGTCCAGGTCTGGACCTCTCTCGTCATCCTCCATAGTCACTCCCCCTTTTTTAATGCAGAGCTCCTCTGCTGGACTTGTTCCCATGGCTCTCTGCCCTGCCCCAACACCACATACCACAATTACCCCTCACAGGCGGGAGGCACTCTGTGACTGTGCATACTACGGAGGGGATTGGTGCCACAGCACCCATGCATGAGACCTATAACAACCGGGCCGAGAGAATAGGAGATGGAAAAAAAGAAAGAGGAGAGACAGAAAGGACTGAGAATGGAAGGGAGGCAACAAAACACATGCTGCATTTCGGTCCTCCACCAGCTGAGAGACCCTTATTCACAGTGCCTGGCCAAGGCACTGGACACCTCTTAGTGGTCGTCCTCCCACTCTGCCCCGCCACCGGCTGTCAGGTGATGACTCCTCCGGAATCCGTGTACCTGGCTGTGAGCCCCCGTCCTTTTTTCTCTCTGCTCCTCCCCTTCGTGCTGTTCAACAGCAGGCTATGGCTCTTCTTGGCAGATTGTGGTGACTTCCCTGGACTCCTCACCAATGGCAGTTGCCCCTCCAGGTTATGGTGGAGGGTAGTGAGCTCTGTGCCATGCTGGCCTCGACCGTCTCCGGAGGCAGATTCTGCTCATCTGACTCGATGGCACTGCAACCTCCTTCAATGGCGAGTGCTTCCTGGCAGCATGTTCCTTCTTCTGTCCTGGGTTTCGGCACCAATGTGAGGATTTTAAATGACCTCCAGGCCATCAGGAAGAATCCAGGAAGCCAAGAAATGTGTCCATGCCTGGACCTTTACATACTCCTCCATAATCACTCCTCTTATAATCCAGAGCTCCTCCGCAAAACTCAGTTTTATTCCAACAGCTCTCGGCCATGCCCCCTCACCACAATATATTTTACGCAGCAGATACTCCTCCAGCTGCAACCCAGTACTGGGAAACACCCAAACACTTTTACATTCATACTCATACACTACGGTCAATTTAGTATATTCAACTCGCCTATAATGCATGTCTTTGGACTGTGGGGGAAACCTTAGCACCTGGAGTAAACCCACACAAACACAGGGAGAACATGCACACTCTACACAGAAACGCCAGCTGGTCCAGCCAGGACTCGAACCTGCAACTTTCTTGCTGTGAAGCAACAGTGCTAACCACTGAGCCATGTGCCACATAAAAATGCAATATTAAAAACAAAATAAAAAATTTCAATGGTCCCAGTACAGAACCCTGGGGAATTTTGTATTTGTAATTATATTTTTTATGTGTCTATAACAGAGATCGTCACATTATCTTGTGTTTCTCTGGTGAGGTCTGCTGATGGAGCACTAGGATGCTGAACAACAGAGTTAAGGATCCACGTGCAGTTTTTTTTTCTTTAAGCTTAGTCAGACAATGGCCAACGGGAACAAACAAAAGCATGAGCCCAATCCAAAAGCTTAGTCAAGTCACAGGCAGGTCGAAGGTCGAAACAGGCAGCAGACAAAGTAATCAAAGGAACATGGCAAAGATCAAACAGAGTTAAGCCGCCTTTCCACTGCACATGACAAGCGACAGACCAGAAGTCATTTATTTCCAATAGAGATAAGGCCAGGAACTGCGTGGATTTCCGATCGTATGTGGAATATTCGGATCTGATTTGACCCGAGGATTCGTTCAAATATTTGAACTCCTGTGACTAGACCGAATGCGACTGGCCGACCATTGTGATGTTTTCCAGTGTTGTCCAAGCAGGTCCGTGCACACGAGATGAGAAATAGAGAATTATTTTTTTGAATCAGAAAAAAGTCTACATTAAAAAAAAAAACATTTCTATTCATAAATGAGTGGTAAAAATATTATTTTATGTTGTCTTCACTTTCCCTCCAAAATTTTATTTGGTCTATGAGTTTCAGTGTGTGTGTGTGTGTGTGTGTGTGTGTGTGTGTGTGTGTGTTTGTGTGTGTATGTGTGTGTGTGTGTGTTTGTGTTTGTGTTTTTTGTGTGTGTGTGTGTGTGTGTGTGTGTGTGTGTGTGTGTGTGTTTTTCAGAGGTGTCTAAATAGTCTGTGTAATTAGTCCTGAACAGCTTCAGCTGTGTGTGTGTGTGTGTGTGTGCAATCATGCGGGATCTGGACCAGGTGTGTGAATGAAGTACAAGATGGCATTTGTAGTTCATTAAGACGCAGATTTATAGTTCTTCAGCGATCTGCACAGGCTGGATCCCTGGTGACCATGACAGCTGACATATTGTGAACTGAGCAACTAAAACAGCTGATTGTAATATTTAGTTATCTGAATTGACAGGGAGTTGCTGTATTAATGTATGAATTCAGATAAACGCACAACTAAAGTAATTTCAGTCAGATCTTTCATATTACTATAGTAAATGTTTTCAACTTACAACAAAAGGTTTTTAATGAAATGTGTAAGAAACTACTCATATACACAGGAACTGTTTAAGGACTAAATAAAATGGCAAATGTTTGCTTCTGTAGGGATCTCTGGTACTCTAACATACTTTTTTCAAATTAAGGATTTAGGTCAAGATTGCAGACTGTCACTACTGGTGTCTTACAAGGCTTCGTACTGGGTCCACTCATGTTTATCATTTATTTACTGCATCTTTGTCGCATTTTTAGAAAATACAACACACAATTTCACTGCTATGCTGATGATACTCACCTCTACTTATCCACCATACCCTCTAGTTCTTTTCTTCCTTCAGCTTTGACTAGATGTTTAGCTAAAATAAAAATCTGGCTTTCAGCTAACTTTTTTTAAATTAAATAGTGACAAAACTGAAGCCCCACACATTGGGACTAAAAGTGTTTTGGATAAAGCTGATAATTTTACAATAGATTTTGATAATAGCACACTTCGTCCCTCTGCAGGTCAAGAACACTCTATAGCACACTCTACTGATGTGACCTACACTTGTTTGTAGGTCACATCAATAATATTACGCGTACTACATATTTCCACCTGCGTAATATCACTCGTCTCCGACCTTCCATCACAACCAATAACACAGCAATTCTTATCCATGCATTAGTTACTTAACGCCTTGACTACTGTAATGCTCTTCTCACTGGGCTTCCTTTTAAACTTCTCCATAAACTCCAACCGGTTCAGAACCATGCAGCTCGTGTCATCTAGGACTTCATCTCACAAGCATGTCACACCACTTCTTTATCAGCTTCACTGGCTTTCTGTAAAGTTTCGTATTGATTTTAAAATATTACTGCTCACTTTCAAGGCACTTCACAATCTATCTCCTCAATATCTCACCGAACTTCTCCATATTTACACCTCTTCTTGCACTCTTAGATCAGTCAACTCTTTATCCCTGGCGCCACCTCACACTCAATTAAGCACAATGGCAGCCAGAGGCCATTTGCACCACAAGTGCATAAGATAAAACGTAGCCTAGTTGTGACTGAGGCCCCGTTTACACTAGTGCGTTTTAGTTTGAAAACGCATAAGTTTTGCTACGGTTACGCCATCCGTCCACACTACGCCGGAGTTCTCGAGCGCTGAAAACGGAGCTTTTTGAAAACGCTGGAAAGGCCGTTTTCATTCTGAAACGCAGCTGCTCCGTCTCAGTGTGGATGGGGAAAGACGGAGACATTTGAAAACGGAGGCGGGGCTGCTGACGTTCGCCTCTCTGATTGGGGCTTTTCCTCAATATTAAGTAGCCCACACAGTTCAGTCACGCATCCTCTTCTTGTAAGTTAAGACTTCGCAAGTTTGATCAAGGCTGCAGTCTCCCCCTTCTCAGTTTGATATGTAAAACATACAGAGGACACGGGTAAATCTTCAAAGGGAACAGTGTACTTTATAACTTCATTCACATCACCTTGGCTACGTTGTTTCACTTTCTCAACAATAAAATGTAAACATGATTTAAGGAACTGCCTATTTTCTTTTTAATATTAGCAACTTAACAGACAGCAGAAATGTTGAGGCGCCGTGCTGCATATATGAGCGTCATCTTCACTGTGGATATTTATAACAAAACGGAGCCGATAACAACTGCCTCCTTTCAATTTCAGTGAAAATACGAAACGCACCCTCTCTAATTAGCTGAATAACAGTTTTAATAATCGATAATTATAAAAGTATAACATACAATAAGTTTATACATTGTAGGAAATAAAGGCAAGCGATCAGTCAATGTACCTGGATTAATCATTAACTTATCTTTGCGCTTAACCAAAACATGTTACCCGTGAACAAGTAACTTAATAGATTCCAATGACCAAAGTCAGCTTGGCCTATGTCGTTGGATAAAGAACATGAATGAAATATCACGTTTAGCAAATATAGTGAGATTAGATCCAGCGGGAGATGCTTGATGAGCAGTCCGACAAGCAGAGCTCTCATCTGGGTAGAAATGCTGGAGCGCTTGCCCGAGAGTGTGTGTGTGGTCACGTGATGTGCGTTTTCAGCGTTTTGGTGTGGACGGAGATCTGTTCAGAAACGCTGGGTAAAACGCGAGTGTGGACGCGGATCGTTTTCATTCTACAACGCCGTTTTAAAACTAAAACGCACTAGTGTAAACGGGGCCTTAGGGCCTACTCACACTATGCTATCCGAACCAGGCCCGTTTCCCAGATCGTTTGAGAAGTGTGAGTGCTCTGAATCGGGCACAGTTCACTTAGGCTTTGGCTTGGTACGCTTGTCGCCACAGAGGAATGAACCGACAACTTTTCCAGCATATGTTTTACACAGTGGAAGCTCTTCAAGCTGCAAACCAGTACTGGGAAACATCCATATACTCTCATTCTCACACATACACTACGGCCAGTCAAGTTTATATATCAGATTAATTAGTGTATTAGGTGACCTGTACTTTCTGTTTGTATAATACATTTGTGACATTACACTTATTGTTGTTTTAAAAATGTGAAATGATGTCATTGTGTTGCAGGAAGCAGGAGCTGCTGACCATCTCCAATGTCCCCCTGTCAGACTGTCCTCATTCTCCCCCCAGAACCGCCCCTCCTGCCGTGAAGGTAAATAGCGCATTGACACCCAGGGCCTGTTAAGAATCAGCACTGAAAGGGGATTTACTCAGAAAGCTTACAGCTGCAAAAAGCAAATTGAAGCATGTAGCAAGCCTCCAGAGAACGTTTCATACATAGTATATTATAAAGCAGCAATTATTGACTCATTTGGTTTACCAAGATAAAACTGCCTTTATGGAGAAAAAGCCCCAGCATAAACCTGTAGCTGGTGATGTGCCCTGCTTACTCAGTAGACCATGACTTCAGACGTCATCCCTTAGGTAGTTTATATTTTTCTCAAAGGAGGAACAATGGAAATGCTGAAAACATCTCTGAAAAATATCCCTCTTGTTTTATGACTGTAGCATTTTTTTGATGTACAATGTATAGTAAGATAATATTTATTGAAATTATTATAAATGTTCAGATGTAATGTCAACATATGTTACATATTACTGCATGGCACACGAAAACAACTATTACTTGCTTAAATATAATATTAATAGTCCCAATACAGAACCCCATGAAACCTCAAAATGATGTTTTTGTTTATTTTATTATTTGATTTTTAAGCTAGGGCCTAAACAATTTATAGTACAGGACCCTGGGGAATCTCACATTTAATTATATTTTATATATTATGTATTATATAAACACTACCTGACAATAGTCTTGTCAATGATCCCAGTTGTAAGAGCAAAAGATAATAACTTGACTTGTAGTTGATCATTTGGAAAAAAGTAAAAGAAAGTAGATTTGTCTGATGAATCATCTGTTGAGCTGCATCCCAATCATCACAAATACTGCAGAAGGCCTATGGGAACCCGCTTGTATCCAAGATTCTCACTGCAATCAGTCAAGTTTGGTAAATGAAAAATCATGGTTTAGGGTTACATTCAGTTTGGGGGCGCATGAGAGATCTGCAGAGTGGACAGCAACATCAACAGTCTGAGGTATCAAGACATTCTTGCTGCCCATTATATTACAAACCACATGAGAGGGCAAATTCTTCAGCAGGATAGCGAATTAGCGCTCCTTCTCATACTTCAGCCTCTACATCAAAGTTCCTAAAAAGCAAGGTCAAGGTGCTTCAGGATTGGCCAGCCCACTCACCAAATATGAACATTATTGAGAATGTCAGGGGTAAGATGAAGGAGGAGGCATTAAAGATGGATGCAAAGAAGCTTAATGAACTCTGGTAGTCCTGCAAGAACGCTTCCTTGCCTTTCATATTAACCACTTCTGATACCAAATAAATAACTAGAAGTCAAGTTATTATTTGTTGTTCTTAAAATTTGGATTGGCGACAAGACTTTTATCAGGTGTATGTATATATATAATTATCTATATATGTATGTATTTATTATATTTTATATATTTGTTATATATTTATAATATATTATATAATTATATAATTTAATTATTATATTATATAATATAATTATATATATATATACTTTTATCAGGTGTATGTATATATATAATTATGTGTATATATATATATATATATATATATATATATATATATATATATATATATATATATATATATATATATATATATATATATATAATATTTATTATATTTTATATATTTGTTATATATTTATAATGTATTATATAATATAATTTTATTTTATTTTTTTGTATATGTATAGTGTACATGTATATAATAAATCATCAGGTCAACTTATGTTGGTGGCACAAAATTATCTGACATGCTGTTAAATCAGCTACTGTAAAAGCAGGAATATGAACATAACACATTATAACATTAACTTAAATTTCCTTGGCAAGACCTTTTGACATAATGGGAACTAAAACAGCTGATTGTGATATTTAGTGCTCAGGATTGATGGGGAGTTCAGACAGCTAGAAGACCAGTAATGAATGTAGGCCTGGTTGTGGCATGTAATGCAAAGTGAAATACTCTGCTTGCTATGTGTTAGCTGAAATATTGACCCATGTTTCTTTTTCAACAGTCTACTCAGTTTTTTGACATGCTGGATAAGATGGAGGTAACAATAAATAATATATATATTTTACATTACATTTGTACTTGGGCAGTCAGGTATATTAGCATTGGTAAACTGAAATATTGCAGTGGGGAATGCATTCTGTCATTCTCACCTCACCTCCACTGTCAGTTGCTAATATGGCAACCTTTGGCTTTTTGACAATGACCTCTTAGCAGGTTTCTGAGGTGGAGGAAATGAGGCCACAAAGAGTAAAGGTCAGAGCGTGTGAAATAATTGAATAATTTCATCTCAGCTCAAAGCTTTTTTGTGTTCGTACTGTAGTATTTTCATTGCATGACGTTAACATTCTTCATCCGTGTTTTAACATTTTATGCTGTTATCTCCAAACCACTGAAAAGATTCTGGAAATCAACTAGAAAAAAAGAAGAATTTGTTGAAATAAATTGGGAAATAATATAATTTAAATACTCTCACTCTCTCCATCCCTCATAATATAAATAAAATAATATAAATTAGATTAAAAATATATTATATTTCAATTAAAATCCCAAACTAAAACGTTTTCACTTGAGGATTCAAATATTTGAATCCCATTTTGTGCTTACAAGCTAAATAACACCAAAGACAAACACTAAACAAAGAATCCCATCTCAAATGCATGTGTTCATTTACATTGTCCAGACAGGCACATCATATTGTTTATTGTATAAACATTACTGTGAAGCATTGTGTGGACTGCATGTCATTTCTCACATAATGTGGTGCATGAGCAAGACATCTGCCTTGTAACACGCTTCATGTCACGACACGAGTCTTTTTAAAACATTGTGAATACCAGTTGCTGTGTTATTTTGTGAATTTATATTATTTCATCCCTCCAGGATGATTACATTCCATATCCACGGATAGAGGAGGTACAGCAAATTTCTATACAACATTAATGTATGCTTTCACGTTATGTGTGACCATAATACATCAGTGTGTTTGTAATGGTTGAATATGTTGTTCAAAGGTGTTACAGCGGGGTGAGCCATACCCTCAGGTCATCCTGCCTCAGTTTGGGGGTTACTGGATTGAAGATCCTGAAGCCCCTGCTGCCATTGCCAATTGGGAGAATGGGTTTTGTGATGATGACGATGAAGATGGAAGGAATTCAGGGGAGTATGGCTACAAGCTGGAGAGTAACTTCGCCATCCGCGCATACCGCAAGCACTTTTTGGGCAGGGTGAGAATTTTGCAGCTACATAAATGATCTGTTAGGCGTTTTTTTATTTATTTTTTTATTTTGCAAATATTTGTTCAGAATCATCTTAAACATGAATTATATGTCATTTTTAATTGTTAAATTGTGAAATACAGCAATTGGTGCAATTAATTTGATAAATCAATAACATGGTCCACATTCTTGTCTCCATTGTTATATTGATAATGTAGCAGTTATGGTCCCAATACAGAACCTTGTGAAACCCCAAAATATCCTGTTTTTATTTTCTATACATTTTTATATCTCCATGTTTATATCAGATTGTCAGACTACCCCATGTTGGTCAAATAAGACATTTCAAAATACAGCAAATTTTGTTTATTGACTGGAGCGTAATGTCACATTTGTGCACACCGGACCTTTTGGGCAAGGTGGGACCTCTGAAGTTGTGCAATTATGTTCTGTAAACTTAAGGTCCACATTAGTTTGATGGTCTTATACTGATTTGGACTGTCAAGCAAAGTCTTTTATGTAAGATAGTTTGCTACTTTCAGAGCTGTGATTATCAGCGGTCTTTTGAGTTTACTGGTGTTCTAATTATTATTTAATAAAGATTTTTACAGTGCAACATGGTGGCTCAGTGGTTAGCACTGTTGCCTCACAGCAAGACGGTAGCTTGTTCAAGTCCCGACTGGGTCAGTTGGCATTTCTGTGTGGAGTTTGCATGTTCTCTCCGTGTTCAAGCAGGTTTCCTCCGGGTGCTCCGGTTTCCCCATAAGTCCAAAGACATGCACTTTAGGTGAATTAAATAAGCCAAATTGGTTGTAGTGTATGTGTGTATGTGTATAGATGTTTCCCAGTACTGGGTTGCAGCATAGAAGGATATCCGCTGTGTAAAACCCCAGATAAATAAAGGGACTAAGCCGATGGAAAATGAATAAATGAATAGATTATTACAATCTGATAATGTATATATTGTAGCATTAAGGGTCCCAATACAGAATCTTGAAAAAAGTAAAAAAAAAAAAATGTAATTTATTTTCTTTCGATTAGCTGTTTTTCTATATGCAACACAAAGACAGTGAAAATAGCAGTGGATTCCTGCAGTACAATTATTTTTATACTTATACTTAGTATATACTTTGTACTTAGTATATACTTATACATAAACTTAGTTTTACAGGATGACTTTCATAACTTTCATGTATTATTTTATCATTATTTCTCATGGTATAATAAAAATATTAATTCCTTAAATTTATATATCACTACAAATTTAGAATTTTTCATTTCTAAGGGATTTTTGTTTTTTTTTATGTCCACAGAGAGCCAGGATCTTTGTTTAACGTCTCATTTGAAAGATGGCGCTTACTGAACAGTATAGAGTCCTTTTTAATATACTGGGATATTTGGAATTACACAGACCTCTGATTGAGCACCCCCTGCTGGCCTCACTAACACCTCTTCCGCTAGCATCCTAGTTTTCCCATGTGGTCTCCTGTCCAGGTACAGACCGGGTGCAGCACTTCTTAGCTTCAGTAAGTGACCATGTGAGGGTTGCAGAAAGCTAGCTGCTAGTATAACCAATTATTTCAGCATAGGTTAATTCTGAAAGCGTAGCCAGAAATACGTATGAGTGCATATTATTTTTGAAACGAATGCTACGAGGTGGTATGACGCGGCTTTTCCACTGTTGACAGTTTGTGTAGTAGCTCACTATGTTCGTCGGCGGACTAAAGCTGCAGAGAGGAGTTGACTACGACAATAGGGTTCGAGTCCAGTGAAGAACGGTTCCAGAAAGCGTATAAGACAAAAACAGAAGCCAAAAAAACAATAAACAAGTAAATAACAGGGTAAGAATGTGGTAAAAACTGAAAACATTGTAAAAATCAGGTGGGTTGCTTTTCTATTTCTAGATTGCTTTTTAAAACTGTCGGTTGGGTTTAGGAAAGAGGGTGGATGGCTCAATCTGTGCTTTTGAAAACACTATTGGTTGGGTTTAGGAAAGGAGGAGGGTGGCTCAGTCAGTCAATCAGCCCATAGCAGCCTCTGGTGGATTTACGCAAGAACAGCAGGCTTGAATGGCACTCGCGAGAGAAATTTTAGATCTGAAAAAGCATACACAGCGGCCTCTGGTGGATAAACGTGCAAAAAACGTACCTCCTGGGAAGTATTTGGCACTCTCCAGAAATGTATATAGTGGTACATTTTCATATAAAGCTAGGGTTGAATTGTTTCCATGATAGCCATTATCTTTATACACTATATTCAAAGAGGGCTTAAAAATCAACAGTGTCATCTATATCTTTAAACTGCACAAGACCTTTAATTTTCAATGGATTTTGACTGGCTGTCAGTGTTTAATCGTTCATCAGCTGGGAAAAATCGTTCTGAAAGGGATCCCAATGATATCATTCCTCTGTGTCTTTATCATGTTAGTTGTGATGTGAACTATGCTATTCTTTAACACTGTGAACAATTTTTAGAACTATATCTTTATCGCTATCTTGCATGCTTGGTGTGAGCTGGCCTTAACTAGAGCCTTTGTAATAGATTTATCGTCAGTTTGTCTTAAGAATGGAGAGTAGCTTTGTCATTCACATGCATCATTATGTTTTGACATGCTGTGAAATCAGGAGCGTAACCTTTCCATTAGTGTTTACTGAAGAACATTATAGACAGGGTGAGAAAAGCAGCTCAGCAGTTCATAAAAACTCATTAGTTTAGAGTTGTATTTTAATGGCTTTTGGTAGATATTTGTGTAAAATCATTTTCAATTGAAACGACACAGTGGCTTAGTGGTTAGCATCGTCGCCTTTCAGCAAGAAGGTCGCTGGTTCGAGTCCCGGCTGGGTCTGTTGGCATCTCTGTGTGGAATTCTCACGATGTTCATGTGGGTTTCCTTGTGCTCTGGTTTGCCCCACAGTCCAAAGACATGTGCTATAGATAAGTTGAAGAAACTAAATTGGCTATAGTGTTTGAGGGTTTCCCAGTACTGGGTTGCAGCTGGAAGGGCATCCGCTGCTTAAAACGTATGCTGGATAAGTTGGTGGTTTATTCCGTTGTGGTGACCCCTGATGAATAAAGGGGCTAAGCCGTAGGAAAGTGAATGAATGAATGAATTTTGAATTGATTACTAATTTCTCCTTTTTCAGAGCTGTGATAATAAGCAATCAATGTAATTTAATGTAATGTTCCCCTTTATTTCTGAAAGTAAATGACATGTTTCAGCTTGCCACACAGAACATCACTTATTTCACATTATAATGTACTGTATGTGACGTAACATTAGGGGTCCCACAATGGAAAGCTTTCATCAATCCAATTAAAATAGTTGAGGGGAATGATTCACATCAAAATTTTAGCACTTGACCCACTGAAAAATAAATCATTTGCCCTAAACAATATTTTCTATCTTCATGAGAGCAATATTATATAACCTGCATGGTACAAAGCGTATTTGTTTTGTTAAAGAAAGTCAATTAATTAAAATTCTCTTTTTATTCTAAACAAAAGATATAGCTTTAATCAAAACAACAATTCCCCTAAAATGTTCATTCATCCAATTAAAATAAATTAGGGTAATGGTTTCACATCAAAATTTGATCACTTGACCCAATGAAAAATAAATTATTTGCCTTAAACATTTTTTTAAATCCATGAAAGTACGAAGCATATGTTTGAGTAACCTTAAAATGTTACATTGGTCAAAACAAATAGTCAGGATCCAGCCTTTACAGCCCTGTCACTCCTGTCTGTGTTTAATGTCTCTTTGTTTGTTTTGTGTATTAGCACATGGCTGTCTCTTTTTTTTTTGTATTGGCCATGTGCTCCCCTTGTCTTGCCTACTTGTTTTCCTATGCCTCACCCCCTTGTTTAGTGCTTGCTTTTCTAATTATGTTCACCTGTTCCTTGTGCTCTCTTACTTATATTGGCTGTTTCTCAATTCCAAGAACGCAGAGAACGGACTTGCGTTCTTGTGGAGACCGATCTTGCCAGGTGTCCTCGGAAGAACGAACTCAGGAGACCGCGAGGGCAGAGAACGCGTCCTTTGAGAATTGAAATGCTGCGTTCTTCCTGATGGTCACATGACCTTTACATGTTTTAAATGGTAAATTATTTAAACATTTCAGCCTTCATACAACGATTTATTGTTTCTCCCCTTTTCAAAATATATATTTTGCATAAAAACATTATAAATATATGTTGCACAATATAAATAAAACAGATTTTAATACGAATTTCAGCAAACAAACACCCTTAATGTGTTTATTCCTTTATTAAGATGTCCATGGTAATGTTTACTTTCACCATTTCATTTAGGGAAACTCCTGAGGTAAATAATTCATATCTATGAACTTTAATAATAAATCTAGATAAAATGCAGTGCTTCCCACCTCCAGTCGCAATGACTTCTAGGACTTCCAGAGCGAGTTCGGTGCTCAAGTCTGCATCGGTGCGTCCTCGATATCAAGAACACATCCGGGAAGTTTCACGCGTCCTCCGTACTTGCGGTCTTGAGTATTAAAACTGAACTTAGGCAGCTGATGATGACGTTTCACGAGAACACGAGGACGCAAGACCGCTGAAGAACGCATATTGAGAAACAGCCTCTGTGTTCATTTCCCCCTTGTCCTTGCAGGTTTGTCACACTATATGTGTGTGCTTGTCTAGCTATTCTTTTTAGTGCTTGATAGAAGTATTTTATATAGTCTAGTTTGTTTGTTTTTGTCTAGTACTGATCCTCATCTTGAATTTATTTACTCTTTTGATTTTTTTGTACTTTCAGCAAGGTTGTTGTCATATTCATTTTTATTTCTGTTTGTAGTTTAAGACTTTTTAAGTTTTTATCTTGGCTTTTTTTTTCACTATTCCTAGTGTTTCGTTAGTTCTTTAATTTTAGCTTGGTTTGCTGTGCTTTGCTTTTCGTTTTATTTTTAGCTTTTATTAAATAAGCTAGCTTCAGCTTATTTCTTCTGGTCTTTTTAGTTTTAGTAGTTTTATTTAGTCCCTTTATATCTCTAATTTTTACCCTCTTAAATATTTCTTGTTTTTACTTTGTTCTAGTTTGTTGTTCGCTTGCTTTTTTGTTTTTAGATTTCTTGTCTCCCCAGCTGTCTAGTCCTGTTGCGTTGGTTGTTTCACTTGCTTCCTGAGACTCCGCTGATTGTGGATCTCCCTAGCTTGATGTTCCATCTGTTTGCCACCCCTGTCCCAAACCTGAGGTTCTACTATCTACTTACTGACTGCTTGGCCTGAAGCAAAGGTATGCAGGGACCCGACCACATTTCTTGCGGTGCGGGAATAAATTTCAGAATAAAATGTGGTAGTGGTTGGTAACTCTGGAGCGGGCGGTCTAACAATATTGTGCTCCCGAGAGAGGGAGGGAGAGAGAGGGCGAGCAAACAAACAAACAAACAAACAAGCAAGCAAGCTAGTGAGACACATCTGTGTGTGTGTGTGTGTGTGTGTGTGTGTGTGTCACGTGCGCACTCGCAGTGGTGCTTTGTGTCAAATGTTTTAAGCTGTCTGAACTCTGTAGCATTCAGCTGGGTGTTTTTTAGGAGGCGTATTTAATCGCTATACATTTTCCTTGCCCCAACATATACCTGCTACGTGTATAGAAGTCATGCTGATATGATGTAGGCTATGAAACACATCAGTAGTTGGCAAATATATTGAGTGGATATGTTTGTAGCTCTGACTGAAATAGTCAGTGCCTCACCTACCACAAACCTCACCACATGTCACACGACACTCATGTTTCATCATAAAGGGGCAAACAAAACTGTTTCTTTTGGTAGTACCCAATTTTAACTTGAGATTTTAGAAACCAGATCTAAATTTATCGGGAACCTGTTGGGTAGGAAACGGGGCGGGATGGGCAGTGTGTGAACAAAGGCTGAATATACAGCGGGAGTGGTCGGGTGCGAAATAAAACCTAGCGGGAACGGGATTTAAAATTCATTACCACGCAGATCTCTAGCCTGAAGTTTGGAATTTCCTCTTTCCTGTCACCCGTCACCCTGCACTTTTGTGTGGATTGCCCTTCTGCATTGCCTTGTTTCCCTCCTGTAAATAAACCTTATGTTCTTCTGTCTATTCTGTGTTTGTGTCCTCCTTGCCAACCCTGACACAAATATTTTTTATTCGAGCTCTTAATCAAAAACAATTATATTTCTCTCTGTTTTGAACTTGAAATATATATCTTGATAAATAAAACAAATAATATTAAACTGAAATAAAGGATACTTTTTTATTGGATATAGTACTGCTTGAGTTTTTTTTCAGTGCATTTCAGAACCCGGGGAACCTAATACTTATTATTTTAATATTTCATTAGATTTCTGTACATGTGGATATTTATAACTGTTTGTCAGACTATCCTGTGGTCAGGCAAGATCTTCTAACATACTGTGAAATAACTCTGCCATTAGTTCTTACTGAGAAAACTATCTGGCCAGGGTGAGAACTCTTCAGTAAAATATTTTCACATGAATAGGCATATTATGAAGATATTATACCTAACTATTCTGTCAAACTAACTCTTTTTGAAATATTTGTGTCAGACCACTTCAACCAGATCACTCACAGGTAATTCTTGAAGCAGTGAAAATCAGAACCCGGTGTAATTTAACAAAATGTTCTTTATGTCTGCCATGGATTTGTTCGCAATTAAACCGCTTCCTCTTATCTGTGGGTCTCAGGAACATCTGAACTTCTATTGCACGGCCAGTAACCATGGCAACCTCGTACTGTCCCTCAGACATGAGGAGGTGAAGGAGCAAGAGTACCTGCACATCATTCTCAGGTAATAACAGCCCTTTCAATCCCTTATGTGTAATTACATGATTGGCACATTTTGAAACGTTTGATTGCATTTTTCTATTAAATTCTGCCACGCTTAGGGCTCCATCAAAGACAATCTATGACAGGATCTCTTTGACAGGCTTGACTGAGCTCCCCAGTGTCCCTCAGTTAGCAAAGGTAATGATTGTTCCCTGCAGAGAAGGTGCACAGGTTTTAACCATTTAAAAAAGAATATGTTAGAGCCTATAGTCTTTTTGATTAACTGTAGAAAACAAAACATCTATTCTAAATTGTAAACACAGCTGTCATCTGCTCTTTGAAGGGTGAGTTTGATGTGTATGTGCAATTTAAAAAAAATCTGTGAATTAATATTTGTTAGGGGTGTAACGGATCACGGTTGATCCACAATTTGTACAGATCACAACTCACGGTTCGAAACACTGGTGACCTGCGGATTCATAAATGTTTTTAGAGAACGCCTCTCACATCATTCAGATCACACATGGAAAGCATTTAGGCTTTCCTGGAAAATATATTGATGATGGGAGAAGTTGTAGTAGGTTATGCGGGATGTGGTGGGTTTCCTAAGGTTATTAAAGGTGTTTCTGTTTAGCCTGCATTAATACATTGAGAGTTCGCTGGACGATTAATCATTAAAAGATCGGGATCTCAACACCCACGCAACATAAATTATAAATGATGGTGATTTGCATATGTTTAATAATGCTTCGAATCGCTGCATTCAAATCTGTGTTTGAAAAACACAGAAATCAAGAAAGAGATTCAGTCTTTATTCTTTTGATTTAGTTATGCAGTGACAAACAGTTTAATAACACAGAAGTACTGGGATAACAGTTTATAGTTTAGATAAAACCACTGATGTTTATGGTAATATGGTGGCTGAGAGAGCTTCACTTGCTTCAATATAAGAAAACACGTGCAACTGCAAAAAACGCCAAAAAACAGCTTGGGCCTTAAGAGTTTGCTGGTGTTTTTTGTAATTGCATGTGTTTTCTTAAATTGCAGCACGTTCAGCTTTTTCAGCACCGTATGCTAAAGATTAAAATCACCTTCATATGCATTTAACTTGACTCTCAAAAATGAAAGTTGTGAGCAGCAATTACATTATTTAACCAATAGGTCCAAGCATCAAAATATGCCACTGAATAATTCTTCAAAAATGATACATCTAGCAATGAAACATGTTTTAGTTTTAGGAGTGAATAACTGAATCATTATTAAAAAATAAAATAAATATGGGTTGTACAAATTATAATGTTTTATTTCTACATTTAGCGTTATCAGCAACAGTAGTAGTAACAGTGAATTCTTTACAATACTATTTTGCAATTTATTTATATTCAGCTGATTATTTTCTCATTTTATTCTTTAATAAAATTAGTTTGTTAAAACCCAAAAGTGCCTTGCAGTGCTGTTTTTGTAATAATGGAAAGCAAATTACATTTGTCTTCTCCCCTTTTTTGGCCGATCCAAACAATGGTTCGATCCGTGACTAACAAACCATAACATGATCCAAACCGTGAGATTTGTGATTCGTTAGTCCACTAGTATTTTTATCTGTCATATCCGAGTAGAGTTTCTCATTTGTCATGCAAATGTGAAGTTTCTTACATGGACAGCAACAAAAAATAAATAAAATTGGGTCAAATAAAGGGTGGAAAATAAACATAAATTCATGAATTTAGTCAATCAAAGTTGGTTTGTTGACTGTTTGTGTTTTGTCATGTTGTTTTCCACATTTATAGCTTCTGTGTGAAGACATTGTTGGGCTAAGGTTTAGTCCTGTACTGTATCCAAAGGTGAGTTAAAGATTAATGTTATTATTAATAATATTATAATGTAATTATTAATATTATTGTTTGCACTTTGGTTGAAAATTGAGAGACTGTAAAAAAATGTTGTAATCCACAAATATTTTAAGCATCTCAATTGTTGCCACTTGTTACGAACCCCAATTTTTAAGGCTCGTCTAGACAGGAGTTAGCAACATAAAAGGACACACAACTCAAAAAGTACCATCCTCTATTTAGTTAGAGACCAAAAACTTGTCTATTAAAATAAATGGCAAACAAAAATATAGATAATTAATTTAACAATATTACTCAATCAAAATTCTTAATTAAACAAACAAACATACAAAAACCATAGATAAAACAAAGATCAACAAAAAATTGAATAAACAGAGCAAAGATCAGGAGGATCAGTTAGACACGCGCTGGAAAACAAAGAGCCACCCCAAACACACACTCAACTTCCACTTATCAAGCCGACAGTCGGATTTATCCGCAGGTGCAAGGCGGAGTTATCCTAAAAAAGAAAGAAACATAAATAATATAAAAAACAATGACATCAACCACAGTAATAATAATAATAGGCGATGCAGTGGCGTAGTAGGTAGTGCTGTTGCCTCACAGCAAGAAGGTCGCTGGTTCGAGCCCCGGCTGGGTCAGTTGGCGTTTCTGTGTGGAGTTTGCATGTTCTCCGTGCGTTCGCGTGGGTTTCCTCCGGATGCTCCGGTTTCCACCTCAATCCAAAGACATGCGCTATAGGTGAATTAAAAAAAGCTAAATTGTCCATTGTGCAAGAGTGTGAATGAGTGTCTGTCACGGTTGCAGGTTTGTGCGCTTTTCCGGAGTGTATGTTTGATCACGTGGGTTTGTTTTGTTTTGGTTGTCCATGTGTATTTGTTATGCTCACGTGACATGACGACTATCAGCGGGGCTGATTACTCACCAGCTGAGGCTCATTATTAGCCCTATATCAGGGCGACGTTTCTATGTCTCATTGTCAGTTCGTTACATCTGTTCTCATGTGTGTTATCTGTGCTCAGGCCCCTGAGGAGATATTTCTGGACCCTGTTTTTTCCTGTCTGTTCCTGCCCTGTGTTCGTCGTCCTCCTAGCCTGTCACTTCCCTGTTTGTTTTTTTGACTTGGTCAAATAAACCTTATTTTCACTTGCATTTGGATCCTATTTTGACTCTTATTTTTGTTGAACGTGACAGAACGAACTGACCTTATTATGGATCCAGCGAGTGCATCCCAAATCTCCGAGTTCGTCTCGCACAGCAACGCCAGGATAGACCGTCAGGATGAGGCTTTGGTCACCTCGTCACAGGCGATCCAGGCTCTGGTCGGCCAAGTGTCGCTGCTTTCCTCCCAAGTCCAGCGGTTGATCGCTGGAGCTGCACGGGCTGACTCGGCATCGACTCCGGAGGTGACACCGCCAGCGTCTGCGGTTGTTGGTCGCTCTGTTGAACCACGCCTTCCACCCCCGACCTGCTACTCTGGGGAGCCCCTCTTGTGTCGATCCTTTTTGTCCAAGTGTTCCCTTTATATTACGCTGCAACCATCATTGTTTGCCACCGAAAGATCCAAGGTAGCGTTTGTCATCACGCTTCTTTCAGGCAAGGCGGCCCAATGGGGAACTACAGCATGGGAACAAAAGTTACCATGCTGTGCTACCTTCGTCCTGTTCTCCACAGAGTTAAAGAAGGTCTTCGATCGAGCCGCCTCCGGGAGAGAGGCTGCCCGAGTTCTTGCTGAACTCCGCCAGGGGAATCGCAGCGTGGCGGAGTACTCTATAGAGTTCCGGACCTTAGCCGCTGAATGCGGCTGGAACCCGGAGGCGCAATGGGACATGTTTTTGCACGGATTATCTGACCGGCTTCAGGATGAGATCTATTCGTTAGATCTTCCTAAAACTCTTGACGGGCTAGTTGACTTAGCCATCCGGGTTGACACTAGACTGCGCCGTCGAGAGAGTCGCCTGCAGCAAGGCGGGTTTTCGGAGCTCGTCCCTGACTTTCCGGTCCTGACTGCGACACCGGAAGTGGTTGACCCGGAACCCATGCAGGTGGGTAGATCCTGCTTGTCCGTGCAGGAGAAGCGCCGACGGAGATCGGAGGGACTCTGCCTCTACTGTGGTGGGGCGGGGCATCGGGTGGTTTCCTGTCCCGTAAAAGACAACACCCATCAGTAGGCAAGAGGTTACTGATGGGTGAAATTAATATGGACAAATCCTCTACGTCTGCTACTTTACTGCCCGTCTCTTTATCATGGGGTTCCGGAACTCATAACACACAGGCGCTCGTCGATTCCGGGGTGGAAGGAAACTTCATTGACTCTAGTTTCGCTTTCAGTTTCAAACTTCCGGTTATAGCACTATCACAACCCATTGCAGTACGCGCACTCAGTGGACTTTCCCTTCCCACTATCACCCACTCCACCAAACCCATAAAACTGATTACGTCTGGAAATCATGTTGAACACATTTCATTTTTTTTAACAGACTGTTCCAACTCACCAGTGGTTTTAGGTCATCCTTGGTTGATTCTGCATAAACCCCACATTAATTGGGGCCTTAATTCTGTATTCTCGTGGAGTGAGAAATGTCATGAGTCTTGTCTTTCGTCTGCTCGTTCTGCTGTCTCTTGTTCTGTGTTTCAGGAGGAGCCCATGGACCTGTCAAACGTGCCCAGTGAGTACCTCGACCTGAAGAGAGTGTTCAGTAAGTCTCGAGCTGCTTCTCTGCCTCCTCATCGTCCCTATGACTGTGCAATAGACTTATTGCCAGGTACGTCTCTGCCTAAAGGCAAGTTATACTCTCTATTCCTGAGAGGGAGGCCATGGAGAAATATATTTCTGATTCTCTAGCGGCCAAGATCATACGGCCCTCTTCTTCACCGGCGGGGGCGGGGTTCTTTTTCGTGAAAAAGAAGGATGGCTCTCTTAGACCCTGCAAAGACTATCGAGGGCTGAACAGCATCACGGTGAAAAACACGTATCCTTTGCCGTTGATGTCTTCAGCGTTCGAGCGTCTGCAGGGGGCTTCGTTTTTTTCATGAAATTAGATCTCCGTAACGCATATCATTTGGTTCGCATGAAGCAGGGTCATGAGTGGAAGACTGCGTTTTTGACCCCCAGGGGGCATTTTGAATATTGCATTCTTCCGTTCGGGCTTTCTAATGCTCCTGCGGTCTTCCAAGCACTCGTAAATGACGTGTTGCGAGACATGATAGATCAGTTTATTTATGTCTACCTGGATGACATTCTGATTTTTTCTCGTTCTCTCCAGGAACATGTGCAGCACGTCAGGCGAGTGCTTCAGCGGCTGCTAGAGAATGGGCTTTTTGTCAAGGCGGAGAAATGCGTGTTCCATGCACAGTCTGTTCCCTTTTTAGGACACATTGTGTCAGTCGAGGGGGTGCGCATGGATCCAGAGAAGGGTCAGGCTGTGGTAAATTGGCCAATTCCGGAGTCTCGTAAGGCCCTGCAGAGATTTCTGGGCTTCGCTAATTTTTACCGGCGATTTATTCGCAATTTCAGCCAGCTCGCCGCCCCTCTGACGTCCTTAACCTCCGCCAAGACTCCCTTCAGGTGGTCGAGTGTAGCACAGGCTGCATTCACTAAACTGAAAGGCTGTTTTGTTTCAGCCCCCATTCTGGTGACACCTGATCCAGCCCGACAGTTTGTGGTGGAGGTTGACGCGTCAGAGGTGGGGGTGGGCGCTATCCTGTCCCAGCGCGCCGCCTCGGATGACAGAATTCATCCGTGCGCGTTTTTCTCACATCGATTATCTCCCGCAGAACGTAATTACGACATTGGTAATCGGGAGTTGTTGGCTGTCAAACTCGCATTGGAGGAATGGCGTCACTGGTTGGAGGGTTCGGGGGTTCCCTTTATCGTTTGGACCGATCATAAGAACCTCGAATACATCAGGTCTGCCAAACGACTCAACTCCAGGCAGGCTCGGTGGGCATTATTCTTCGGACGTTTTGACTTTACCATTTCTTATCGGCCGGGTTCCAAAAACACCAAACCCGACGCGTTATCCCGTCTTTTTGATTCTTCTGAGCGCAATCCGTCTCCTGAGCCCATCGTTCCCCAGAGCATTTGTATTTCTGCGGTGACATGGGAGATCGAGAGCAGGGTCCGCACAGCCCTGGATGGGGTAACGCCCCCGGCCGGATGCCCACCCAGTCGTTTGTTTGTGCCGGAGGAGATTCGGTCTGACGTCATTCGGTGGGGACATTCCTCCAAAGTGGCTTGTCATCCGGGGGTGAGTCGTACTTTATTTTTGGTTAAACAGCGATTTTGGTGGCCAGCTATGGCACGGGACATACGCGAGTTTGTGTTGGCCTGTTCTGTTTGTGCTGTTTCTAAGACTTCTAATCGCCCTCCTGCTGGACTCCTTCAGCCGCTGTCAGTGCCTTCGAGACCCTGGTCGCACATTTCGCTAGATTTTGTCACTGGTCTCCCGCCATCCAGTGGCAATACGGCTGTTTTGACCGTAGTGGACCGGTTCTCGAAGGCTACTCATTTCATTCCTCTGCCCAAATTACCCTCAGCCAGAGAGACAGCGGATGCTGTCATTAATCACGTCTTTCGCATTCATGGCCTCCCGACGGACGTGGTTTCTGACAGGGGGCCCCAGTTTGTCTCAAAATTTTGGAGAGAATTTTGTCATTTATTGGGAGCGACTGTAAGTCTTTCTTCTGGTTTTCATCCTCAGAGTAATGGACAAACAGAGAGGGCCAATCAAGATCTCGAGCGCATGTTACGTTGTTTGGTTTCCCAAAATCCCTCCTCTTGGAGTCAGCAGCTCCCATGGGTGGAGTACGCACACAATTCATTACCAGTGTCGGCTACGGGCCTCTCTCCGTTTCAGTGTAGTCTAGGTTACCAGCCACCAGCTTTTCCCAGTCTGGAATCCGAAATCGCGGTCCCCTCCGCCCACGCCTTTGTCCAGAGGTGTCGACGCACTTGGAGCAGGGCCAGACAGACCCTCCTCCAAGTGGGTGCGCGCACTAAGGCTGAAGCCGATCGCCACCGGTCGAAGCCTCCCGTTTACGTCGTCGGTCAAAAAGTGTGGCTTTCAACTAAGAATATTCCATTGCGTTCCGTATGTAATAAACTTGCACCTAAATTCATTGGCCCATTCACTGTCATCAAGATCATTAGTCCGGTGGCAGTCCGCCTTAAACTTCCTCCAGCGTACAGGAGAATACATCCCGTGTTTCATGTTTCCAAATTAAAGCCTGTTTTTCATACGGCAATTAACCCGCCCACACCGGTTCCCCCCCCGCCGCGTCTCGTAGATGGGGAGACCGTTTATTCGGTTAAGCGTATTCTGGACTCGAGACGGAGGGGGCGAGGATTTCAGTACTTGGTGGACTGGGAAGGTTATGGTGCGGAGGAGAGGAGTTGGGTTCCTGCAAAGGACATACTGGATCACTCTCTTATTGATGATTACAATCGCCAGGTAAGCTCTTCTGGGAGCACCAGGAGGTGCTCTTAGGAGAGGGGTAATGTCACGGTTGCAGGTTTGTGCGCTTTTCCGGAGTGTATGTTTGATCACGTGGGTTTGTTTTGTTTTGGTTGTCCATGTGTATTTGTTATGCTCACGTGACATGACGACTATCAGCGGGGCTGATTACTCACCAGCTGAGGCTCATTATTAGCCCTATATCAGGGCGACGTTTCTATGTCTCATTGTCAGTTCGTTACATCTGTTCTCATGTGTGTTATCTGTGCTCAGGCCCCTGAGGAGATATTTCTGGACCCTGTTTTTTCCTGTCTGTTCCTGCCCTGTGTTCGTCGTCCTCCTAGCCTGTCACTTCCCTGTTTGTTTATTTTGACTTGGTCAAATAAACCTTATTTTCACTTGCATTTGGATCCTATTTTGACTCTTATTTTTGTTGAACGTGACAGTGTGTGTGGATGTTTCCCAGAGATGGGATGCAGCTGGAAAGGAATCCGCTGTGTAAAAATGTCCTGGATAATTTGGCGGTTCGTTCCACTGTGGCGACCCCGGATTGATGAAGGGACTAAGCCGAAAAGAAAATTAATAAATAATAATTATAATAAATAAATACTAAACCGTGACACCAATTCTATTCCATCAGATTAATAAAATACATTTATATTACTATAAATCAAAATAGACATTATTATGCTGTAGTTATGCAGCATGTCATAACATTAACTCTTCTGCGATTAAGAGACATTTTCAAAAACATTTAGAACAAACTCTTGAATGGTGGTGTATAAAATAATATTGATTAACTGTTATGTTTCCTCAGTCATTTCAATAATGCTTTTCAGGCACACACTGGATTCAAAGAAATTCGTTAAATTGTATAAATGTTTGTTTGTTTGTATTTTAAGAAAATACAACTCTTTTTAAGCAAACATTTCGTTAAAAAGTGACAGTTAAGCAATATAAACACATTGGAAAGACTTTTTGGGATACCAATGTTTCATTTTAAAATATTAGATTCATTTTTAATAGTTATAATTACGTGTGTGATTATCCTTCAGATTTGTTTTTATGAGCAAGTCTGTAGGGGCATTGCAAATGTCATTAACACTGTATTGCCTCTCACAGAGATATTAATTCCTCATTTAAAAAACTTGTTACGTGCTTTAAAATAGCCAGAGTGTTATCTTTATATATTCTTGTTCTTGTTTTTTGCAGGGCTCTCAATTAATAGTGAATTATGATGAGCATGAGTTAAACAACACCTTCAAGTTTGGTGTCATTTACCAAAAGTTTGGGCAGGTGAGGACATTAATGCTGAATGTGTGTAGTTTTTGTACCATTATAAATACTAAAACCTGGCTGAAGTACTAAAGGACACTTTCAGCTTTCTTATAAGGCTTTCCTCTCTAATCTTATCTGAATCACCAAAGCAATGCATCAATAAGTAGCTGCTGTATGTGTGTTATTTTATACTTTTACTTTATCTTATCACACTCCCTTGCCTTCCTGCTGTTTCACCTGTTGTTTACTAGTCTGTGATGTTTTCTGATACTCTGTGCTGTCCACAGACTTCAGAGGAGGAGTTGTTTGGGAACAGCGAGGAGACGCCGGCCTTCACAGAGTTTCTCCGAGTGCTGGGAGACTGTGTCCAACTGCAAGACTTTAAAGGGTATATAAAAAAAAGAGTTGATAAATAAAATATGAATGTGATTTGTTGGGATGTGTGCAAAACAGCACATTAACTGGCCACTTTAAGAGGTGCACTCTGCATGATAGGACTAGGTGTTATAATCTAAAAAATTCAACAGCAGTACTATAGAACATTCCCTCACAAATTGGTAATTTGGATGTTTCCAGTGGGACCCCTTTCCCCAAAGACCATCCTTTTATTGTGGTGATTCTGACAAAAAAACCTTTGTATAGAGTTTCCACCAATGCAACACATCTTCATTTGTGTACCACAGCCTCATTTGGGCTTTTCACACCGCACTTAACCCCAGATTATCATCATTCTAAACACCACTTTTAACCCTGCACGGTTTACATTTGTAATTTAAAAGTTTTCACCCAGGGTTATGCTACATTGCTCCAGTGCAATGTTATTATAGTTAACGAAAATTTTTAAATAATGGTCGTTAACTGAAATTAAAATAAAAACGGGAGTTTTTTTTTTTTTAAACTAGAACTAACTGAAACTTTATTGTGTACATACAAAACTAACTGAAACTAACTAAAATCATAGCAAAAACCTCCTTCGTTTTCATCTTTGTGAATGTAGAATACATAATCGTAATGTAAGCCTTTTAGATGTAAAACTAATTCGCGCTGCATGTGTTTGATCCGTAAGGCACCTGAGAGTCTGTAACAGTTAGTCCTGCTGCCATTGGCCAGATCAAGCCGGTTATCCTCCAGTCTTCCTTGCTGTTGCTCCCGCGACAAAAACAACAAGCGGACATGACGGCAGCACGGTGACAGCATTTAATACAGACACTTAAAACTATTACGTTTGTGCCCAATAACGGGTTTTATTTCTGTATCGCGATCGCGAACAAATCTTTTAAACCGGATCTTCTAAGTGAACTAGTTGAACTAGTTCACCAAATCAAACTGAATCATTTGAAACGATTTGCATTTCCAGTAAGCACTTATCCAAAAACTACTTACTTTTTACCAAGCCTAATAACCCACTCTGACTCTAAATGATCCAATATATACTCTCATTCAGTTTTTAGAACAGAAACATTGAACTGAGGTCAAATTTGAGAAGCACTGAACCGATAATACTGCGCATACGTGATTCAGTCAGTAGCGTAGCGGATGGGCCCGCAGGGCACGCACCGCGGGGGGGCCCCGCGTGATTAGGGGGCCCCGCGTCGTCGCGATTTTCTATAATTGAAAATCAACCGGCAACCGCAATAATCAAACTCTTGGGAACAACTGTGGTCGGAACCAAAGTTCACAGGTCTGTGTTCTCTGAACACCTCTCAAGCGGTGGACTACTTCATTCTGATTGCTTGCCGCCAATGTTGCCAACTTAGCGACTTTGTCACTAGATTTAGCGACTTTTCAGACCCCCCTAACGACAAATCTAGCGACTTTTTTGTGTGTTATTGGAGATTTTTTTAGACTGTCACTTGTCCATACTGTACCGTCCCTACTCTTCTCAACGAGCTGCGTGTGATGCCGCCGACCCCTCCCCCGCCTCACAGCACTGACAGGCGGCCCAGTCAGTCCGCGTACAGCAGCCTCTCTCATCTGCAGCCCGAGAGCAGATCACCCCTCTGCGTACCGACGACAAATGATTTAGCACAGGCAGTGTGAAGGTATTTCCCTTGTACAGTCAAACCGATCTACTTCTACTTTATTTTAACAATTTAATTGGACCGTTTATTCTTTTCTTGTTCACAATCACAGATATTTTAGTAACAGTTTGTGAACTTGTCTGAGTTTATTACATATGAGAGATTACTGCACATACACTACACATCTATAATGACATACTGTATTCAAACAGCAATGAATTTAGTTTAATAAACATGCTTATATAAAGTGTAGTGGAATTATAAATACCCCTTTATTAACCATAGGCTGTAAAACAAACAGAAACGGTAAAACGTGATGACGTCAGTGATATGCAAATTGGCGTATGATGTATCCCCCCCCCCCCCCCCTCTTCATCAGGGGGCCCCGTCAGCGATCCCTGCAGGGGGGCCTCCGCATTTTGCGCTACGCCACTGGATTCAGTGAACCGAACACAAACAGTACATGACAGCCTGCTGTGACTGAACTAAACTTGAACAACTGCAGCGCGGGTGAACCGAGGGATTAAATGAGAGGATCTAGTGAAAAAACTTGAGTTTATTTTATAACAGAAAATCATAATGGAATTTAAATAAAGAAATGATGATTCAGTTGGGCTGCAAAACTTTACTGTAAGACATTTTTCAGATCATGGTGATGTTTTAACTGACTGAAATTACTATTGCTGACTACATAATGTTGAATCCAAACATTCGTGTTAAATATCTGAACTTCCCATTACTACTGTGTATCTAACCTCAGAAGCAGCCTTGCACACATATTGTACTTAAGGCTGCTATCTTGTGGGCTGTTGTATTTAAATTAGAGAATGGGTAGATGGTATTGGTAGATGATAGTGTTCAAGTGTTTGGCTGAGTTTTTGTTATACATTATTTATCCTGTTGATTTTGAATCTTGCACCCAACAAATATCCTTATTTATAAAAAAAATAAAACTAATACAAAAACTAATAAAAACTGAATTAAAACTAAGTCATTTCAAAATATAGAAACTAATAAAAACTAGTAAATCTGCCTTTTAAACTGATAAAAACTTATTGAGTTTGAAAACATAAAGTCAAAACGAAATAGAAACTAAAACTAATGAAAAATTCCAAACTATTATAACCTTGCTCCAGAGTAGGTTAACCCCACATTATGGTGCTATTTTTTTTCAGTGTGAAACTTATCATTGTTTGCTTGTTGCAGCTGGATCAAAAATTGAGCAGCAAGACTCATGCAATGCGAAAAGAATTGAGTGTTTTGGCTCTTAATCACAAAACACCCTCAGCTGATCAAGCTTGGGACTGTGTAACACACTTACCAATGTTGCCCAAATCCCAAATGGCACACAATAAATACACTGTGCACTTATGCACTATGTACTTATGCACTTATACACTCAACAGCATAGTATATGTATGTAGTGTCGTCCCAAATGGAACACTAATGTTTTTTTACTAAGTGGAAATTCAAACCGTTTCCCAGATAACGTTTGACAGTTGCCAAATCCGTGAAATAAATGACCAAACTACCAAATAATACTCCCAAGAGTATAACTGCATTCACCATCGGGAGGCGCTATAGTCACTCTTGTAGGAGAATTTTGTTTTCACAATCCAAAATAAATAAAGTAATCCAACAGGAGTGCCTGAAAGCTCTGCTCTATTCTGCTACGTGAGCAAAGCTGCGTCGTTTAGTGCATTAAGTGTCAAAAAGTCCACACTTCTTTTTAAAGGTTGAATTATTGCATCATCCGGGTAATTCATGTATTATTATTTAGAGTTTTTAGTGTGAATGCACTACTTACACTATTTATACCACAAAATAGCGTTTAATAGTGCATTAGTAAGCAATTTGGAATGCACCTAAAGACAATTTGGCAGCCGATGATGTGTCAGCAACAGTAGCAGGTTCCCTGACCACTATCCACTGGACCTGAAATCTGATGCCTACCTCCTTCAAGACCCGTGGAGGTAGTCACCAAGCCCCTGCAGCCCACTTGCACCCGGTATACCTTCTTTGTCCAGCCACGCTCCTTGGCTTCAGCTGCCAAGTTGGCATAGTTTCTTTCTTATAAAGGCTTTATTAATGGCCTCTTACCAGGGAACTGTTAATTCAACTATTATGACAGTCTGGCTGGATTTGCACGAGAGATCCAGTTCTGGGCACAGATTGGTGACTGCAATTTCACATGGGAAAGTGAGCCTGCGATTTAAATCAACTCACATCACCAAGTTCCTGGCTGCATTCAACTTGCCATTCTAGGAAACAAGGCCTACGCTTGCCTTCTCTCCCTGATGAAAGGACTGCATTTTTGCTAATTTATTTTCATTTATTGAAAATTAAGTTTGTTGATGATCTCTTTGTCTCTTTGTGCCACCAAGCACCCCAGTACCTGATTGCGGCACCACATGTACCTTCCCTGTGTCAGAATGTTCTTAGAACCCACCAGAATTTGTCTGTGGTTGGCAGGGGATGTGCACAGGTGGCAGGCTGGGTCTTGTCCAAACTACACCTGCAGATTTGTTGGGGAAGGCAGCACATCTTATCCGTCTCTATAACGACGAATAGCCTGTGTGTTTCCATGCTCTTTTCTTATCCGGTGGCCTTGTTGGGCTTTGGAGACTGCTCTGGCACATCTGTTTGCTTCTTCGGGACTGCTTCTTTTCTCCGCCACCAGATAATCCTATTCCTTTGGTGTAGCTTGTTGCCACATGGGTTTTGTTATTCCCAATCCATGTCCCCATCTGCTAAATCGGATGATTTCACAGTGCCTAAGGGCTGCCTTTGGATAACCATTTTCTTCCTGTTGCTAATGCAGGAGTAACATCTTTTACACATGGTTCAAGGATTCTTAAAGTGTTGTTTTGGCTCATTTATACCCCTCCATGAGGCCTGAAATTGGAAGAGAAAGAGCTCCTTTGCCATATAGCCCTACGGTATCTTGGCAGTACAATCCATTTTCTCTCTCCAGGTGCACCTTGGCATTAGATAATGTGAGCTCCATAGATGGAAATTGGTCACATAAGCGTCAGCTTTCCCAGAAGGGCTGTGTCATTTATTGTCTTGAGCCTGTTTGTCTCTTGCCTAAGTTTTTCTACCTGCTTTGAGTCGTAAAGGTCGGTGTTATACCATCATCCAAGGCTTTTAATGGGCTTTGCATGATCATTAGTTTGGGCTCTTCTGATTTACAGAACCTATCATTCGTGAGTCTGACTGACAATGTAGATACTCTGAGATTTAGCTGTTTTATTACCAACTGTTTGTTCATATCTTATTATGAACTCACATGACAGCAACTCAATACATGTAGGCATGTTGACATGGTCAAGATAATCTGCTGGAGTTCAAACCAAGCATTAAAATGGAGAACAAGATTTAAGTGACTTTGAAAGTGGTATGATTGTTGGAGCCATATTGGAAAATCGGAGTGTTTTAAAAGCTGCTGATCTACTTGGATGTTCACACACAACCGTCTTTATGGTTTATTGAGAATGTTGAGTGAAAATGCCAGCATAGGCTCATTTTGAAAATGTAGCCCCTATATACATTTCTGGAGATCGTGAATCATGCAGCCAAAAGTATGTTTGGCTGCATTTCCTTTTTAAAATGAAGGCTACCGGATGGTATGACGCCATTCCTTTTCACGCTTACCAGCCGACCGCTTACCCCTGTATAGACGTCTTTCCCACTGTTACCAGTTTGCCCAGTTGGCTTGCCATCTGTTGGCAGATTTGAGATGCAGAGAGGAGTTGACCATGACGATGGGGTTTGAGTCAGGCGAAAAACGGTTCCAGAAAGCAGGTAAGACATAAACAAAACCCAAAAAATAAAGTAAAAAAGTAAATAACAGGATGAGGATGTGGTCAAATATGAAAGCCTGGTAAAAATAGGTAAAGGCTTTTCTTTTCTTTTTCTTGGTTGAGTTTAGGGAAGGAGGAGGGTGGGTTAGTCGATTGGTGAGTCAGTCAGTCAGTCAACAGCGGCCTCTGGTGGATTTACGTGAGAACAGCAGGTGCGAATGGCACTCGTGAGAGAAATTTGAGATCTGAAAAAGCATACACAGCAGCCTCTGTTGGATTCGCAACAACAAAAGCTGCAAAAAAGTAGCTCTTGGGGCGTATTTGGCAATCTCCAGAAATATTTATAGGGGTATGTATTCAGAATGAGCCTGGGTTGGAAAAATGCCTTGTTGATGATCGAGATCAGAGGAGAATGATTAATTCTAAATAAATTATTTTGAATAAATGATAGAAAACTTAGCTGATAAACAAATAAACAAATAAATAAATAAATAATCATTAATTAGAACCAAGGTCTGTGAAAAAAAATAGCATTTTTGAACACACAACAGGAAGATAACCAATAACAATAGTACACTGAGGCTACAACACTGGCTGAACAACACTGGACAACGGAAGACTGGAAAAAGTTTGACTTGTCTCATAAGTATTAATTTCTGCAGTGAATTTTGTATGGTCAGGTCAGAATATGTCAAAAACACCCTGAAAGAGTGGATATATCCTGCCTTGTGTCAGCGGTTCAGGTTATGGTGGTGTAATCGTCTGGAGGAATTTTTCTAAGCACTCTTTTGGCCTCTTAGTACTAGCTGAGAACCGTTTCAGATGTTGTTACAATAGCTTCTTAAACATGACAGTAAGCACCAAACTTTAATGGATCCCATATACAGTATACCTCAATCTAATAGAGCAGCTTAGAGATTCACATCATGGATCTTCATCATATCAACAACTGATGCTCTATATCAATGTGGACCAAAATCTCAGAGTAACGTTTCCATTACCTTGCTTAATCTATCCCCCAAAAAATCATCATTTCAATAAAGTCTAACACAGTATTAGCATGGTGTACCTAGTTAAGTTGATGATAAGAGTATTTTTTTTACCTTAAAGGCACAGTATGTAATTTTCACCACTAGATGGCGCATATTCACAACAGACAAAGGTGTATTTTGACGGTGCTGTCACTAAGTGTGGAATCCTTGGGGCCAAGCACCGAAAAACTCGTCCTAGTCCGATTTTCACCAAAATTGAATGACATTATCCACAGGCCATGTTGACCAAAAGTTATTGAATTCAAGTTGATTACATGTACTGTTTTCAATTAACTTGTGAACAAATTTAACAAAGAGCTTGCAAAAATTGGCGTGAGGTGTTATCTCCTAACGTATTCACACCAAACTTGGTGTGTGTTATCACAAACATGGTCTAAAATGAGCTGCAGTGTTTTGGTGCACTGCCCCCTAGTGGTCAGGAGATACAAAAAATAGTTTTTTTTTTTTTGCTTATAACTTCTCAACTTTTTGTCCAAAATTCATAAAATGAATTTGAATGATGTCTGATTTTCCTAGGTTAGCTATTTTGGCTGTCGGCCATTTTGAATTATGTCAAAAATAGCTATTTTTACGGACATATTTGTGAATTGTTATTAAAGTCAGTATGTGTTTTCGGGCTTTTGCCCTGAATGTGCTAAAAAAGTTTCAGCACCTCCTTTTTTCAAACTCCGCCTACATCGTTTAATTGATTTGCACCAAATCTGACTTAATCATCTTTAGATCATGCTGACAAAAAAAATATTGAATTTGTGTCAATAGGTGTAACGTTTTTTGTTTACTACAATGACAAATGTGATGGCAAGATACCAAACTACATCTGAGGCTGTATCTCTTAGATATGTCATTGTCACCTCACACTGACCCCACCATAAAAATTTGGTGACAGCGCCATCTATGGGTAAAGAATTATAAGACATTCATTAGCATTATTAATGGAACTTAAATGTGGTAATACCTTTTGACTGCATATGCTTATTTTGATGGAATTTCTCTCAAATTATTCCTTGGGTCATGCCAATAACACAGATACAAAATGTTCCATAATCTGCCAAACTTCCTGTCCACCGTTATGATTTTGTTCAAACCATTCTTTTTTTAACTTCACCATTGGTCCAGTCTTCACCAAATTTGACTCGGATTATCTTCAGATCATGAAGACCAAAAGTTATTGAATTTTTTGGGAATTATGGAGTTATGGAATTTAAAAGTTTGTAGTTGTTATCTTCAATACATCTTACAGGACTCCTGCAGAAATCATGTTCATGGATGAGCTAAAGTTTTCAAAACTCATCATCATGGTTGTATGAAGCAGAGTAAGGCTAAAGTTGGTTGAAGTGAAAGGATCAGCATGAAAGCAGTGAAGCTTTTCTTATACCACAGTCCACCACTTCCAGTTCTACTGCTTGTAATCACGTGAAGCTGCAGCACTGTTTTATCATACTGAGTGCATTTTAGAGTATTGTTTTAATGCTGTGGTGTTTTCCTGTTTTCCATAAAACCAAACCAGAAATAAAGGGTGTCTTCAACATGGAGACAAAGGACACAGCCTATGTCACTAGTTAAAACTGATTATATCTCTGGATTAGAATTTTTTAAAAACATTTGGGATGGTGTATATTTCATAAGTCACCAAAATATACAGTATAATACTGTTCTAGTTGTCAATTTGAGCTGTCAACTTTTTTACAGTGTAGTTTTTGTAAAATTTGAATGAAAAGACTTACGTTATTTGCCTTTAATGAAGTACTGTCAACCAGAGGAGATAAAAATGTAAATTTGTTTTTTTTTCTCTGTTTAATGGCTTTTTTGCTTTTATTAGTTGAAAAACGCATCTGTTTTAATCATTATTTTAGTGTAAAATATGGCATTTCTAATTTGCTTTATTCGTTTTTTTAACTATAGTTTTTTTTTTTTTAGTGTGTGATTTCTCCACAAAGAATCATTAAATTAGTTGTTTCATCAGCTTACTCTTGTATATTTCATACCTCATTTTCCCACTCCTGATCTTCTATTCAGGTTTCGAGGGGGGTTGGATGTGTCTCACGGTCAGACGGGTTCTCAGTCGGTCTACACTGTGTTTAAAGGACAGGAACTAATGTTTCACATCTCCACCAAGCTACCATATATTGAGGGAGACACGCAGCAGGTGCTCACTGAAATTGACATTTTCATAAGTAAATCCACCATAGGGCTGTAAAACATTATTTTTCGAAGTCATAAATAAAACTTTAAGTCTTTATTACATTTTTCTGTGTGAAAATAGATTTTATATCAATTTTTTCTAACATTAGAGATAAAACGTGACTCTATTCTTTATCCTGTAAATGCTCTAGCTCCAAAGGAAGCGTCACATTGGGAATGACATTGTGGCTGCAGTTTTTCAGGAGGAGGCCACACCTTTTGTGCCTGACATGATCGCTTCCAATTTCCTCCACGCTTACATTCTCGTTCAGGTGGAGAACTCTGGAACAGATGAAGCCACATACAAGGTAAATCATCAAAATTTATTTTGTAAAATATCTGGGTAAAAGGTTTTAATAAATACAAGATTGTATAATTTGTTTATTTTTTCAATGGGGAGTGTAATTTTTACTTTTTGATTTTATTAGACCAACTTGTCATTTTAATTAAAGAATCTAATCATGTCACTCTTTTCATTGTAATTGGAAGTTGTGATCATATGATGCAGGTGTCTGTCACAGCACGTGAAGATGTGCCGCAGTTTGGCCCTCCGCTTCCTAATCCGCCTATTTTCAAAAAGGTAAACAAGACAGTGTCCCACTACTGCTGCTAAAATCTAATCATGCTTCAGATTATCATTAAAATTATATATTTATGTGGGGGAAATGCAAAAGAAATCAAGACTTTTTTATACTATTTACTTCATTTGCTTATAAAAATTTTTTAAAATACAATACTTACCACACCGGATAATCTTCTTCTTTTTAAAGGAATAAATCAGACAGATTTAATGCTTAAAAGCTAATGCTTAAAATAAAAAACAAGTATCATCTTTGAAAATAATAACAATTTTTTTAAAGAAACCTTGAAAATGAAGACTTAATAATTAATGCATTATTGCTCCTCAAGTAAACTGAGCTTGTTTTAAATTTCCCTTGTGATAAAAATCGATCTTTTATTATAAACTGTTAATTATATACAATGTACCCAAAGAAAATAACAAACAGGGTTTGTACAGGGGCTGGAAATCCTTAAATGTTTTAAAATTTTAATCTTGTGTCTGCAAAGATTGAAAAATGTTCAGATTTTGGTGCTTGAGATTTCTTGAAAATTTAAGTGTTGCGTTCATAATAAATCATCTTAATTATTATTTCATTTAAAATAAGTCTTTTAAGAGGGTGCCCCTATTTCTGTGTATGTTTTGAGGAATATGAACCATATTTTTTCATACTTTTGACAGTGTTTGTAAAGTAGACATCATATTTTAAAGTAGAATGTGCAGTTTGGTTGTATTTGATCAGAATTTAGCCTCTCAAAAAGCATGTAAACAATTTTACATGTGGATTGCTGTAGCAAAGTAATGCTTTACAGCTTTAATGGGTATCCTTGTATCCTTCTTGCAAATGAATAAATAACTGTTGCTCAGTAACATCTATCAAAACTCAGTCACCAGCATCTAGAAATTGTAAGCTTTCAAATGATATGCTTTCTGTTTAGACTACATTTAAAAATTGAACCGCAAATAATCCCACAGTTCCTAGTTGTTTGGTGAACTATTTTCAAATGGTGAGGCAGCAGCATTCGTACAGTACTAGAGGTTGGGATTTTAATCTTTGTTTATTTAAATTTAAAAGTCTAGTGGGGAAAAATATGTTTTTACATACAAGTGCAATTTTGTGGAACAAACCACCAAAATCGATCCAGGAAATAAAAGATTTAAGGAGGTTCAAAAAAGCTATCAAAAGATGGTTGTTTGATGAGGATAATTAGTTTTCATAATGGACGAGGATGTTTTATTTTATATGTTACTTGATTGTGAACAGGGCTACGGCTGGAAGGCCATTAGCTGCATAGAACATAAGCTGGATGAGTTGACGGTTTATTCCGCTGTGGCTACCCCTGATTGATAGAGGGACTAAGCCGAAAAGAAAAATGAATTTGTGAATTATTTTGTTCCTGTATTAAAATGTGTGAGGTACTGTTTGTTTTATGCATCATCTGTATTTTGAAGCCATACTTTGTTTCATTTAACAGCGAGGACCACAATGGAAAGAAGCCCAGGGCTTTATTGTATTTTTTATCCTGGACAGTTTTTATTTCAAAGTGTATGGGATACTTGTATTTTTGTACAGCTTGTCTAAATAAAATTCAATTCAATTCACAGTTTTAAGGGTGACAGTAATTGAATTTTAAATCTTCAAGTCTTCCTACGTAACCAAAATAAAAAAACCTAAAACAGCTGTAAAATATGCATTTAGAAGACATATATCATCTTTCCGATTATATATAATTTGTCACAATGGGATTAAAATTTAATTGCAATATAGTGAAGTAAATTTCAGTGTCCTTCTGTCAGGATGTTGATCAATGGGTTAATGACATTAGATGATAAACTAAGTGCATTTATACTTTCAATTTAAAGTTGCCAATAGTTAGAAAAACATTCTAATGCATGTTTTGCCTGAGTTTTTGCATTTACACAGTTTTGACCACCGGGTGTCCCTGGCATATGCTGTTTTGAACACTTCAATTCATTTTACGAAGCAATCGATTCAATTGTTTTGAAGCTTTGAAAAGCTTAATTTCTGTCATTACTTGTTTTCATGTCTATTATTTAGTATTTTAGTCCTGTCTCCCTGTTTCCCATCCTGTGCTGCTTTGTTCTTGTATCATGTTTTCTTTAGTTGCTTTAGTCATATGTCTCATTGGTTGACTCAGGACACGTGCTCTCGTGTTTATTATAGCCCTCATGTTTCCTTTGTTCCCTGTCTGTTTTTGAAATTATGTCAGGTTTTCAAGTTCATGGTTTTTATCTAGTCGAGTAATGTAAAGTCATGTTTTTGTTAAGTCTGTTTTTTTTTTTAATATACTGCACTTTGGTTTAAAAGCTTGCCTCAGTGAACTATGCATTACAATACGATTATCATTGTGGGAAAAAACATTTAATAATGTAATTTTGATTACCAAATATTGAGTTTAGAACTTAGAATTTAAGAATTTAAGATGACTTTGAGGATGAGGCAATGCTTTTACAAGAAATCAAAGCAAAGACTGGTTAAGAAAATGATCTTTTGCTGCGCAGACTGTTTGCTATCACCTTACCGTCTTTCTAAAGGTCATATTTGCTTATATTACAGGCAGGATTTTGTCAGGTCATTGTCTTTTAAGGCTGCTCTGGCATCTTTCTCATATCTGCCCTGTCATTCTACTCTCTCTTAGGGTCCAGAATTCAGAGAGTTTCTGCTGAGCAAGCTGATCAATGCAGAGTTGGCTTGTTACAGGTCAAACCGATTCGCCAAGCTTGAGGTGAGGAAACAAAAGAGTATCCTTTATTAGTGCATTACTGTAAGGATGAGCTGAAAAAGCTTGACACATTTCTGCTTCGGCACAAGCTCTGAATGCTTAATCCTGATGTTGTACTGGGGGTCTCAGAGACACAAGGGCCATTTAATAGCTTGAAATAAATCTGATTAGTCTTTTGCTAATCATTTGAGAACTAAATGTCAACCAGACATGAAAACTTGACTTCAAACAAGCCTGTTCATTATATTTAGGGTCATATAATTTATATAAAACCATGCATAAATACAATGAATTTTAATTATGTGACCTTGGAACACAAAACCAATAATAAGGGTTTTTTTCCCCCCAAGCTCTGCTTAATGGATTTGTCAACACATTTCCAAACGTAATAGATTGTTTTGTAGACAGTCAAAAAATATTGCTTAAAAAATTAAAAACTCCTTTATTCTAGTCAAAATAAAACAAAGAAGACTTTTTTTAGAAGAAAAAATATTGTAGGAAATACTGTAAAAATTCCTTGCTATGTTAAACATCATGTGGGAAATATTTGGAAATCAGAAAACAATTCAAAGGAGCGCTAATAATGTACACTTCAAATGTATATGTCATCTAAAAGGTGGATAAATAAATATAGTTTGTTAGGATAGGAAATATTTGGGTAAGATATTGGTTATTCCTACAAATATGCCTGTGCAACATAGATGTAAAAAGTAATTAGTTATTTAAATGTAATTACTAAAAAAAGGAGGTTGTTTTTTTGCAGTTACACTACCATTCAACATTTTGAAGACAGTCATTTTTTCTTTTTTGTGTACAAATGCTTATGCTCACCAAGGCTGCATTTATTCTATGAAACGTTCTGTAAAAACAGCAATATTTAGCAATATTATTAGACTTTAAAAAAAAAAAAATTTTTGTTTTAAAATATTTTAAAATCTTAATTTTTCTCTTCTCTGATGCAAAGTTGAATTTTCAGAACCATTACTCCAGTCTTTAATCTCACATGATCTATCAGAATCAATAAAAAACTATGCCAGGTATAATATGTAAAAAAATACAGCTGAAGTCAGAATTATTAGCCCCCCTGTTTATTTTTTCCCCAATTTAAGAAGAGAAGATTTTTTCAGCACATTTCTAAACATAATAGTTTTAATAACTAATTTCTAATAACTGATTTATTTTATCTTTGCCATGATGACAGTAAATAATATTTGACTAGATATTTTTCAAGACACTTCTATACAGCTTAAACTGACACTTAAAGGCTTAACTTGGGTAATTAGGTTAACTAGGTATGTTAGGGTAATAAGGCAAGTTATTGTATAATGATGGTTTGTTCTGTAGACCATTGAAAATATATATAGCTTAAAGGGGCTAATAATTTTTAACCTTAAAATGGGTTTTAAAAAATTAAAAACTGCTTTTATTCTGGCCGAATTTTTGAATAAGATTTGAGTCATTTTTTACTTTTATTTAATGCTCAAACATTGTAAAAGCCTTTTACAATTTTTTATGTGTTGGCTACTTGGTGTTAGATGGCAGGCTTTTCTCTTTCTCTTTTTCTTTCTCTCTCTCTCTCTCTCTCTCTCTCTCTCTCTTCTTTCAAAATCCATGTGTCTTTTATATATATTGAACCTGACATAAGCAAGTTTTTTTTTGCATGTTGTTTATTTACCTGTTGTATTATTCTTTTTTGGAGATGTGTATGTTGATGCCAAAGAAATGGAGGAAAAAGACACCAAACTTCCCAGTGCAAACTCTGATTTGAAATGTTTCAGGCATTTTCAATTAATAAAACCTTCAGCATTTATTTGAACAGGAAATCTTTATTTTATGCATCTTTATTGTTAAAAATTACCCAATACCTTCACTTGGGTAAAATCAAGTCATTCTCTACAGAACAGATGATAATAAAGCTTATGATTGTGTGCTAGGAGAGAACCCGAACAGAACTGCTGGATAACCTTCATAATGAGCTACACAAGCGCACGCAGTCAATGCTGGGACATCCGCTAAACCCAGATGAAGAGAGGATGGAGAATGGAGGACATGGAGGAATACTGGAGTCCATTAAGGTATAAAGTCTGCCCCCGCCACAGTCTCACTTTGTTCATTTATCCACAGTTTTCAAAGGACATTGATGCTTGAATCACTTTATTTAAGAATTCAATACTTGTGCTTTGTTTGTGCGCTCTCTCTCTCTCTCTCCCTCTCTCTCTCTCTCTTTTTCTCTCAGCACTTTCTTCTTGCACTTCAATGCACAGACTAAATAAATGTCAAATAATGTAAGAATCCCTCTAAACTATTGACCTTACTCTTGACATGTGAGCGGGCGCAGCCATTGGAATTTTTTTGGCTCCAGCTTTCCAGTCTCATTCCCATCTATTAATTTTTAGACGTTAAAAACAGATTGTTTTGCTGCGTGATGTTGCAAACTGATATTTTTATTATATTATTTTCCTTTTTTATGTATAGTCATGAACACACTTGTTTGTAGTGCAAGTAGTTTTACCATTTTCTGCCGTTTATTATTCTTAGTTATTTCTCCCATAGGCTTTAGAACAGAGATGTCCAAACTTGGGCCCGGGGGCCAAAGTTTGCCCAAGGTGACCTTTGATTTGGCCCACCATTTCATCTGAGAAGAGAGGGAGAATTTTGCAAAGGGTTGGGGTTAATACCTTTAATGCACATTGTCATTTATAATTTACGGTACCTTGGTTTATATTATTGTTAAGCAAAAAAGCAATTATTTCTATCCAATGTTGTAAATTGCATTTTTCTTATGCACATATTGTTGCTCAACTTATAGACCCCAATTCAGATGTCCTCAGTAAGCAAATCAAGGCAAAGGCAGCTTGGCTAGTGTATTCGGCATTAACCTCCATTGTGTTATAAATTGAATTGTTGTCATTATAATAGGGCTTAATAAGAATAAAGTAATGTTTTCCTTTTTATTTTATTTCCTTTTACTTTTTAATTACCCATGGCAACATTGTAATACAGTTGGATATACATACCTTGGGCCCACTGCCCTCAATCGAGTTTGGATTTTGGCCTTTCATAAGAAAAAGTTTGGGCACCCCTGTTTTAGAAGATCTAAAACAATCGCAAAATTGAGCACACATCCACATTGAAGAATAAGGTCAAAACAGTTGAGGGAGAAGTTTCTTAAGGTGACATTAGCCTTATAAGCCTGTTGTCATTATTAACATTAATCAACGACAAAAGACAAAATCACAGTTAGACCTGCCTATATTATTTGTATTGTTCTGTTGAGTTTGTTTTAGTTGTGATTTACATATTTTTGTTACTGACTGTACACTTGCACTGTAAAGAATGCAGGGTTAGATTAAGTCGATTAAGTTAACTACAGTATTTTTACAAATGTATGTAAACTGAACATAAAAGTTGTCCCCAAAAACCTAAGAATTGTATTGTTTCAACTAATTTTAGGAAGCAATAAAGTTATAACTTGATTTATGTTAGGATAGCAGTTTCTTCTCTAATACTAGAACTGGAAATAAGAACCGTGAAACATATTTAAAAGCTTCGTACTTTTGTTTTTCCCAGCGGTGCTTGTAAAAAATTTGGCAGGGCAAGCAAAAACCTGAACAAATGGCCAGTAGTAAAAAACTTTAACAAACAGTCCAACAAATGAAGAAAGAAATGTCAATGTTAGTGGGTAGGGAAAGGAGCAAAGACTCAAATGCAGACTAAAAAATGGGTTCTTTAATTCTAAAATAAAACAAAAGGCAACAAAAACTATCCCGAGGGGGGAAACATTACTAAAACACAGCTGGCCAGCTAGCTGCGATCAGGGCTGGAACAAGACAGGATAAACAATGTGTGATGAACTGGCACAGAACAGCAGACAAGAGGAGACTATAAAGAGAAAGAATTAACAAACAAACAGGTGAACTGAATAAACTAATAATGGGTTACCAGGAGGGTGGAACTAGACAATAGACAAGAGAACACATGACACAAAGACAACAAAAGCCATGCGCTAACGGAAAAACAGGACTAGAACACGCAGCCAAGGAGAAAATCCATTAACTGCGTGTTCACATGAAACACAACACTAAAGCACATGGTGCATGTAAACGAGAAAACTCGAACCAAGCACAACATACAAGACATGACATGACTAGTGTCTGGACTCTGCCACCTAAACAAGAAATAAAGACAGAAGTGGCAGAATCCTGACAAATAAAGCTTAAATGTTGTTATTTTAATTAATTCTCTGTTAGTATTTACCAGTGTTGGCAAAAAATGATTTTGTTTATCATTATTATTTTAGGGATTATATCGAAGTTAAAAATTCCAGTTTCGTGACAATACTAGTGTCAGCTGTAAGTTTATGTAAGTTAGGCTTTAAGAATTGTTGGAATTAAGAACTGTGAAATTTATTAGAATGTTGCACATTTCAAAACAATGAAAAAAAGCAAGTATTTTTATTTGATTTGTTTTACCTTTTTTCAGCTGGGATGGTAAAAAGCAATGAAAATCTGAAGAATCTTTGGCGCCAGTTAATCATGAAGTGATGATTTTGTTTGAATGGAAACACCTCTTCATTTGCACGTCTTTTATGCGATATTCCAGTTTTGCGCATAAATTAAATTCACATTTTTGAATGGAAACCTCGCTAACGGTTACAGGTTTTCTCAAAATATGTTCTCAAGTGTTATAAAGAAACTCATGATACAATAAACGTTGCTGCTTGTGCAATCTACTTATTTAAAATAAGTATAAACAACAGAATTATTAATTTAACCTAATTGTCTCATGTTCAGTCTACCTTAATGTGTAAAAATGATTAAGTTAGCTTGATCAATTTGTGTTGGGAAAACACAAAGCAATTGTGTGGAACCCAGCATTTTTTACATTGTAGTGTGAAATCATTCAATTTTGGGGGAGAACTGTCCCTTCCCTGTTGTATGCTGTGGCAATATTTACAAGCGGTATCCAAAATGGTATCGTCATACATCAATACTTTTTAAGGTATCATATGGAAGTTAGGAATTCCAGTATCGTGACAACACTAATCTAAAATAACATGTCATTTCAATTCTTCTAAATGTGTGTGTGTGTTTTTTATTTGTGTGTCAGCGGGCGATGCGTGTGCGCAGTCACTCAATGGAGACGATGGTGGGCACCCACAAACATGGCCGCTGTTCTCCAGCAGCAGGAGCAGGAGTTCCTACAAGCCTGAGCGGAGTCAGTCTGACGCACAGCAGCTCTGAGGCCGCAAAAAACTCAGTGAGCATCTAATTACATTCACACAGATAAACCACATCTGAACAGCTAAATTAATATGGGAACGGGCAGCCTCAGTGTAATAACATTGGGGTTCGCTTTAATTATCTGGTTATGCTTTATTTTGATGGTTTCCCAACAGACTTTCTACTGACTTTGCAACTATGTCAACTTACTCTAGCTAACAATTACTCTAATGACTGAAAGCAGACATGTTCAGTGCTTTCACTAATATTGGTGCCCTTAGTATATGAGCAAATAAGGTTGGGGAAGGCGAGGCAGTGGCGTAGTAGGTAATGCTGTCGCCTCACAGCAAGAAGGTCGCTGGGTTGCTGGTTCGAACCTCGGCTCAGTTGGCGTTTCTGTGTGGAGTTTGCATGTTCTCCCTCCTCCGGGTGCTCCAGTTTCCCCCAAAGACATGCAGTACAGGTGAATTGGGTTGGCTAAATTGTCCGTAGTGTATGAGTGTGTGTGTGTGGATGATTCCCAGAGATGGGTTGCGGCTGGAAGGGCATCCGCTGCGTAAAAACTTGCTGGATAAATTGGCGGTTCATTCTGCTGTGGCGACCCCGAATTAATAAAGGGACTAAGCCGACAAGAAAATGAATGAATGAAAGGTTGGGAATTCATTGTTTGTCTTTGGAGAAGACTTTCTGGTGATATTGGTCACGTCGGATTGTTGTCGGTTTTACCCATTTTTATGAATGGCTGATAGAGTTTTGTTTGTTTTCTTACATGTACTAAAAATATTCAGTATTAATGGGATTATACACTGTAATAATCAATTAGTTAATCAAAAAATTGTAAGTAAACCTGTTTTAACTTGAAACTGTTGAGTTTTTTTGTTTTTAATAATATGCACATAGTTTATTTAGGTAATTTTATGGCAATGACTTTACGCACTTTTTTTGTAAATTGTTTTTTATTCAATTCAATTCAATACAAGTTTATTTGTATAGCACTTTTTTCATAATTAAAATTTCAAAGCTGTCATTGAAAAAGTGCACGTTATAACATTACAATCAATATCAGTTTGTTTTTAATTAGCTTTAATTGGGTTTAGAATTTTTTATTTTATTATTATTTTGTCTGTGTATGTATTACATTTTCAGTTAAGTTAAACGATCATTGCAATAATTAAGAAAAATGTGTGTTAAGACTAATAATGCTTAAGACTTTAAGCATATTGCTTAGCATTTTTACAGTGTACTTGAGAAACATTTCACTCATACACTGTAACACCCAACAGTCCACTTTATCAAATGAAATGAGTGTAGTTAACTCAAAATTGACTGAAAGATTTCTACTCATTTGAAAAGAGTTTTGAACTCAGTGTTGAAGGTAATGAGTTAATTAAATACCTCATTACTTCAACTTAAATGGAGTAAGTTTACAATACTCATGTATATTAGTTTTTTACTCAAATGGTTTGTAACAATCAGTTTCCTCAAACGGTTTGAGTTGCCTTAACTTATTGTTATTTTACAGTGTTTAATTGGTTCGAGGTCTCTTCATTTATTAGGTTTTACAGTACTCAGTTGGTTTGAGTTCTCTTCATTTATTGGGTTTTACTGAGCTCAAATTGCTTCATTTACTCAAATGGATTAAGTTCACAGTACCTGTTAGGGTTAGTTTTTGCACTTAAATGGTTTGTTGCAATCGGTTTCCTCAAATGGTTTGAGTTACCTTAATTCTTTAGGTTTTAAAGTGTATGAATTCATAGGGGCACTAGTAGTTGTGGCACTGCTGTTTTATTTTATTTTTTTCTTTATGGGCAACATTTTTTTTTGATAATTTTGTTAAAATATTTGTTATAGCTTTTCTCAATTACTTTGGCACATTTTTCGAAACAGACTTAACATTCTCTAAATTGTGAGTGCAAATCTCAAAACTGTTTGCTGGAATTGCAGAATTTGTCTGCAAAATGTAGTTACTCACACAAAACATTTCTTTCATGCTTCAAAACCTAGTTATTATGTCAGTAATTTGGCCAAGGCCACCAAAACATTAAGTGTATTGGTCATCATGTGAACCACACTGCTCCAAACCATTAGTTGTTTTTTCACCATGACAGTCAGCCAGGGACATTTCTGTGTTGGGAGGAGTCAATAGTACATTGAAAAAATATATGATCTTTTGTTTTTACAGTACATTTATTTGTGTACAAATGTATTACATGCAAGGTGCAATCCTGCTTGTCCAACTACTGTATTGTATATTTTAGATTTTTATGTTACCACAAATACTTAACAAAAACTACAAAATAAAATCCATGAAAATAAATTGTTTCTGGTGCTCTTGTTGGCCTTACCAGAGATTACATATTTTCCAATTGCTCTTCCACAAGCATGTTACTGGTTCAGGATTGTGAATGTAGCGATT